AGGAGTAGGGGGAGTAGGAGGAGTAGGAGTAAGAGCACCAGCAGCACCAGCACCAGCACCAGCAGCAGCAGCAGCAGCAGGAGTCGTCGTAGCATCGTAAAGTGGTAGAGTAAGTAGCCGTCGTCGTGGAGATGTTGATCGTGGTCGCGGTGATCGTCGCTCCCTGAAAATTGAGTCCGTAGGTTTCAACCTTTCATCCGAGCCCAGCACAGCCAAGGGCCCGAAAGAAGTTTCAACTTAGATGCTCGTTTTACTACACACTAGACATTCAGCCGTCCCAGGCCACGGCCTTCGAAAGAGGCAGCCAATGGCAAAAGGCGCATCGTTCCATCGATGTCGGTCGGCAGTTGCTTCCGTCTTACGTTGCTGCGAATGGTAAATGCTACTTTTCTGTTTTACTGCCAGTGGCGATCATGTATTCGCAAGACTACCACTTGTAACTGCCCGCTGCCTTCTTTGGCAGGCGTGGACCCTAAGAGCAAAGCACGCACACAAAGATGAAAAACCAGCCAAGGCAATCGACAAGCGATGAGCACGACCAACCCCAAGCTTCCATTGTCAACCTCAACCGCCAAAAGCAGAAGCATGGTTTGTGGATCCCGAACATCTTGTCCTTGATCCTTGGAGACGTGTTTCAGTATCGTGGCGTGCTGTGCTGCAGCTGGGGCATCTCCTGCGAACATCTCAAAACTTGTCTCAAAACTACCTCACAGCACTTCTCCCAAAGGCTTGCACAGGCCAGCCAGACCGGGACCAGCCAGAGGCCTCCAAACCGCCAGACAAATGTGATGTGAAATCGTCGACGACGAATTCTTGACAGCATGCGCTGGATGTACTGTAGCATGTTAGCATGTTGTTCGCAGGGAACAGCCTCCCGCAGGCCTCTAAACTGCTTCGCCAGGCAGTCAAGCTTCTTCATGGAGAATCTGGAGGCCCAAGAACTCAAGAACTTTTGTCCGAGTTCGGGATTTAGGGCCTGGGCAAGTTCATGGTTCGGTGTAAGGACCACGGCCACAAACATCCGAATGCCGCTTGTGCTGTTGATCACTTGGCAGGGTAGTCCCTCGGTGGACGAATGTAACGTCCCGGCTTTATCCGGGGTTCACGAACCAAGTGCTCAGCATGTCACTTGGAATGACGATGCCAGGGCAGTCTTCCTGTCGGTGAGGCAGAGGGACTGTAAGTCCCTGCAGACCCGAATGCACGGGTTGGCAACAGGATGTGTATGCAGTTTATCGTGTGAATGACTACCTTGCTTCTCGACAGAAGCTGGGGACGTGCGCAACGTCGGAAGTACCATGGGGCTATAGAGAGACTGACAGGCGGCCTTCGGACACTAACCTTACAGACTCAGTTGGTGACACCACAACCTCAAGCCCAAAACCCGCCTTAAGACTGAATCCCAAGCCTTGAGATTCATGTCCGAAAGACCCCGATGTTGGCACCGAGCTTCGTGCAGAGCCGGACATCGTGACTTTCTCTGCATCCATCAGCGCGGCTTCCAGAGGCCAGTCTCCAACAAAGCAAGTAGAGGATAAGTTTTAGCACGATTTAGGGATTTGGGATTTGGGGCTTAGGCTTAGGTACAGACTTAAGGCTTTTTGTAGAACCCTGACTGCGCACTGTCACCCTTCCAATACCCGAATCCATCTACTCCGTCGAGCATGATTGTTGCTGCTCCTGCTTCGCATGGCGATTCCTGTTGGTTTCATTCAAGACTTCGGGCTCAAATTGGATTTCGTTCATGGCTAGTAGCGAGAGCATTCTAGACTTTGGGCTCGCGGAGCCTGTGGTCCGCGGTGTGGGGATTTAAGTAGTCGTCGATGTCAACCGCCCCAAAAGCCACAGTCGCGAGTTTCGGGCAGGCGCCCCCCAGCATGTGCGGCTTCCCGTAATGCTGCTGGCCGAGGCGAGTTGATTGAAGGAAGTCTGTTGTCCTGAATTGAGTGTGCTGCGATGGGGGAGGGTACTAGGGATCCTTGGTAAACCAACCCTAGGGAGTACTGGGTTAGCAGGCAAAATTGTGGATTGCCGGGTTCAATGCGATCATCGGCACCCCCTCATCCCCCCTCCCTAAGAGTCTTGGCGTCGAGGAAAACTGTTGCGCTAACGTTCAATCAGGCTTTCAGACATTGAGGCTTAGGATATGAAGCATGCAGATTTACCATACGAGCCCTGAACATCCAATAGATATTCTAAACGAGGACTGCCGTACTTCGTGTCTCAATAAGATCTTCTGCTTGGTCAGCAGTAAACAGGACTTCCCTACACTGAAATTAACAGACTCGTTGTGCAAGTCAAAGCAACGGTCCACAGGACCTCGACGACCTGAAAAGGTCAGGCTGCAATCAGAACAAGTCCTGCACAGCCCGTAACTTTCTGGCTTGGACCAGGCCATCGGCCGGCGATTGCTGCCAGATGCGGGAGATCCAAGCATCGGCTCATGCACAGTTGGAGCTTACGTCTGGGAGCTATACAAACCTACAGTTCTTGTTGCTTGCTTCGACCAGCCAACTCCGCGGCCCCACCGTACAAATCAGCTCTTTTGTTGGTGTATAAAATAGATCTTGAAAGAGACTTCAAGTTAAGCAGATGCCGTTGGAGTTCAGAGCGTTCAGGTTCTAGTTTTGTCTGTTTGAGACTTCTGGGCTTCCATTGAAGGAAGTCGAGAGGCTGGCAACACCCGGTTGCAAACACTCGCACAGAGCCTGTCCAGACAACTACACGAAACCTGAGCAGGTGCATGTGCTTCAATGCAAGATATCTTCAAAAGTGCACGGTCCAATCCTGCACCCAGGTAATCGCGTTTTCCTCGGTCATCAGCGCTTGTGGAAAAGGCCCACAATGGGAGGCAGGTCGCTCCTCGGCTAGGAGTCTCAAAGCCCCGGAACCAGCGGGTACCGTAGCCTGCGCCACTCCTGCCGTCAACTTCAGGCTCGCGAACTTTGGTGATTTCAGCTGCGGACTGTTGCGTAAGAAGGTGTTCACCAGGTCCCACAAACTGCGGGTGTAGATTGCGGCCGGCGCAGTGGTTCAAAGCTGATTCACAGGACAGCACGGAAGTGCTGCATGCATCAGGAATAAGCCTACATTTGCGGCTGCATCCTTGGCTCCCGGCACAGCTCACATTGAAATGGCCAGATTGTCACGACTGTTCCCTGATCCTACGTGTGTTTCACACCGCCTACACCTTCAACTCATTAGATTAGACCTCAACATATCCCAACCCCCTCAGCCTCAAGGCCCACTGACAAATCCAGAACCGAAATCTGCTCAGATGGCTTTGGAAGTGTTGCAGATGCTTCGCCATGTCCTGAGTTGCGCAAGTGACTGCTTTTGTGGCTCATGGTTTAGAGCTTAAGCTTCAAGGCCGACTTGCAGGAGCAATGCGCACGCACAGCACACACCTCGGTGCAATCAACATTTCCGGAACAGGAGAACCGACCCAGAGGGGCAAAACTGCAAGGCAGCCAACTTACTTTCATAGCTGCAGTGAGCCCGTGTTTTGTGTTTGTGAGCAACTGCTGCAGAAACTCTTCTGGCGTAGCTTGCTGTTTGTTTGGTAAACACTGTTGGTCCATGGTTTGGTGCAGCACTGGCTTTCTAATCCACCGTGACATCACATGAGTCTGCGGCAGCAACTGGCCATCTGCATTCCGTGGAGACATGTGGAGACCATGCTGGGCATGTGATTCCAACACCAGCTTGCCATACTCGATCACGAGGTTGCTCCAAGTCCTGTCACATGTCCCGTGCACAAACGAGAAATGCAGATATAATTTTCTGAAGGTGTTGGTCGAAATCACTAAAGCCGAAAGCCATTCAACGCATCGCCAGGAGGGGAGCACGTACACATGCAATAGGACTCGACGCAGACACATGCACATGAACCGTCAGCAAACCTTGGCTTTCGATGATGTCCATTCGGTCGAATTTCAACATCTCAATCCGACCAGCATCAAATGAACCACGCCTCTGCCCGTCCGAGGCGAACAGCCAGGCATCCAACCGAACGTTGTCTGCACCATGGCTGCTCTGGGACAGTCGCTAAAAACTCTACTTCGAACGAGTGCCCGTGTGACTGCATGCGTGTCTGGTTGTGTTGCTTGCAGGATCTGCTTTGATTTTGGTGCTGCGCCAGACACGATGCAGCGGCATTGTTTCTTACTAAGATTCACCTATGGCTTAGAGAGCTTTATTTGCTTCCGTCGCCAAGCAAGGCTTTGGAGCCGGGATCACAGTTGGAAGCCAAGCTTCACTTCTGAGCGCGTTCAGTGCGTTTTGCAGATTGCAGGCTTGGCAACGCTGATTGCATTCGGCCTGAATGTCGAGGCTTGCGCGAAAGGTCGTCACTGGCAGGCATTTGTCCTGGAGTTCGGCTGTGCTTTCGGTGCCTCAGTGGTTCATTACACAGCCAGGTCATGATCCGCAGCTCGCTTCCAATACTGAACGCAGAGCAGAACAGCAGTGACGGCTAGTGTCGCAGTTGCCCATACCTCAGCGACACGCGAGGGCGCTTTCGCTCTGCTCGACGAGCTCCGAGAAAGAGCATTGGATCCAGTTCCGGCCGGCACGCTTGCGTTTAGCTTGCATGCCTCGCGGGAGGAATTTCTCGTCTACGGGCAGAAATAGAGCCAGGATCTGATAGCTTTCAACGCAGCCATCACGGCCTGCGAGAAGGCAGGTTTCAGGGTGTCGGTGCCGCAACGGTGTGGGTTCCGGCATCAAGACGGAAAGGCCCAGGTTGTTTAATGCTTCCTCAGTGGCTGGCGGCCTTTGCTCATGTGTAAATCTAAGCGCACCGATTCGTCCTTAGATTTCGCCGTATGACGAACCTTTTTGACCTCAGCTCATGGGAAAAGAAAGCATCCTAGAACGAAATCCTGCACTTTTGATATCGAATAGCCGAACAGCCCCAGCTGGCCATGGGAGAACGACGACCCAGATTCAACCAGCAACGGTGAGGCCCAACGCTGGGAGTTCGCGCTTGAGCTGCTGATGATGATGACGAGCCAGGATTTCGGTGCTTTTGTTAGTTTAGATTTGAGGCCATTTTGGGTGTTGGAGCTTTGTGTCACGGAGTTCGAAGCTTTTCGGAAAGTGGATGCGAGACGATGACACATTGAATATGCGTGCATCGAGTTTCTCATGGCTCCGCGCGACAGTATTCAGATTGGGAGGTGGGGTACGGAGGCGGTGCAGGTTGAAACCTTGGCAGCGTCTCCAAGGCTCACATGTGGTGACACCCGACATCGTTTCTTTCAATGCTGCAGTCGCGACCCTCAGATTGCAGTCGAAAGACCCACTGACTGCTCCCAAGACCTGCACGAAGCGAGGTCAGAATGAAGAAGAGACAGAAGCCGTGTTGCCTCCGAGCTTCCTTGTAGAAGCTGTTTGTTGGTTGAGGCACAACTCCCACACTTTCGCGGGTGTGCTTAGATTTGAGAAATAAGCATTGTGTATCTTCACACACCCACGCGCGAACGCACGCGCAGCGGGCGCGCAAAACCCTTTAAGTTAGGTTGAATGTACTGGTTGGGTGATTCGAACAAATGGCGCCTCCTCCCGCCGCTTCCCCTTATGACTTTCTCAATATGAAGGTCCGAAACCTGCTTCTCTTTGAAACTTATATAAACGAACTTGCCAGACTTAACACATCACATGTGAATATACAGAATAAAACTGAAAACGTAATCTCCAAAATCTGGAACCCTGAGCTCTTGAAGAAACTGCAGGTCGGACGCTGTTTCTGAATCTCCATGAAGCCTTGCAAAGTGAAAACCCATCGACACTTGCTTACAAAGTTCAGGCTTCTGCTTGCGAAAAACGCAGCCAGTGGTGCCCAGTGCTCAGCTGCTGTTTTCTCCACTTCATGCTTTGAACCGCGACAAGTAAAGCCCAGTTGCACCTCATCCATGCAGGTTGGGCATTGTGGGTTGCCTCGCAGACGAGGTGCTTTCGGTGCCGAGAGGGGGCTGCAGCTTCTGCACGAATCTGCAGTTAAAGCACTTCAGCTAGAGGCTGAGCTGATTCTAATCACAGTCTTGAGGGTTCGAAGCCGGGTTTGCCAGCGGGGAGGCCAGCAAAAACTGTTGGCACAGTTTCATCAGCGGCTACGTCAGGTGCTTGCCAAAGCTGCAAGGTGCGGATCTCATTGGAATTGCAGTCTGACATCCATGAAATTGTGTTCGAGGATTCAGGTCGAAGCGATGTTCGAGTTGCTGGTTGCATACAAGCGCCGCAAATTTAAAAAAACTATTTGCAGGTTGTTCTGGTTTGTGACCCAAGATACTCTTAGTTTGTGGAAATGCACTCTGCAAGTCGGACATGCGGCAGTTGCATCACCATGGCCCGATGCTTAGGCCTTAGGCGCAACGCGCCGCAAATACTGTACGGGAAGTTGAAGTCTGAAGCAAGCCTTGCACGTGTCAACCGAATTGCTGAATAAGAGGCTCGGTTTTGCTCACCATCAGCAATGCTTGCATCAGTGCGTGCGCGAAGGCCTGCACGGGGTTGGGCAGGGCTTGCAAGGGTTTTGCTGGCAGGCAGCATCAGATTGCACAACCTTCCGCTAGACTGTGCAGGCGTGTGTAAAAAATGAGAGCCTGGACCATGCCCAAATTCCAGGGTCTCACTCCGCCGTATGGTTTTGGGGGGACCCTATTTTTCTTGGCCCTTGTTTTATTTTTGTATATTATATAGTATATATTATTTTCAATTATATAGTATATATTACTTTATATAGTATATTATACTATATCATATCATGTTATATTATACTATATTATGCTATATTATATTATATTGTATTATACTATACTAATATCATATCATAGTATATTATATTATATATTATATACCATGTGTTATATATTATATATTATATATTATGTATTATATATTATATATTATATACTATATATTTTATGCTATATATTTTGTGTTATTTAATATATATTATTTATTATATATTATATAACATATATTATACATGAAATATTGTATATTTACTATATATATATATACAACATATACTACACATACTATTCACACTATATATACTATATATACTATACATAGTTTATATAGTATTATAATTATAGGGCATGAAGAAGGAGAGGAACCAGAAATACAGAGATTTGTTATGAAAATATAGAGAAAATAAGGGCTTCCTAGGAAAATAGAGGGAAAATAGNNCCCCCCCCCCCCCCCGCACACAGAACCAACAAAAAACAAAAGGGCCAAAGAAAAAAGAAAAGAAAGAAAGGGCCAAAAGAAATTATCCACCCCTTTTTCGGGGTCGCTCCAGGGTTCTTTGCCAGCAAAATTCGAAATGAGCGTTCAGACATGGAGGTGGCCGGGCTGGACGGTGGACAGGGCAGGCAGGGCAGCAGGGAGGTGACGAGGGGTCAAGTTTTACACTTTCCATCTGCAGCGGTTCAAGTGCTGTGGAACGGTAACGAAGGAACGGAGAGGGAGGGAAGTGATCCGGGTGGTGTTTTGGGCTGGCTGACCCAGTTAAGAAATTGCCTAGAGGATCCAGCTCACCTCCACAATTTCTTACCCTGTGCCACTGGAATCAGAATATCCCGGCTCCGATGCATTTAAAGCTACTGTTGTTTTTTAATCAAAGCCCTTCACTGCACTTGGCTGAAAGCGCCTTTGAAGTACAGGCACGACGCTTGCGCAAAGCCTTGGCGCTGGGGTGCGAACCTTGGAAGGCAAAGGTTCATCCCTGTGGAACCGTTTGTGGTAGTTCAGCAAGAGAGTGGTGATGAGTGGAAGGGGCTTAGAGGTGCGCCTGTCAAAGTCCTTCTGTTAGAGCGGATTCCAGATGTTGGGATCTCCCTCAGACGGAAAAGGCGTTCAAAAAAGGTTCATTTGTGCGGCACATCAGAGACACATCTCCACAGTTTCACACACATCGCTCGCAATCTCACGTCGTGCGTGCGTGC